CTCACATTTCTGCATGTTCAGTCACATCACAAATGTAGACCATCACCCCTTCTTCTTATACCCTTATCCCTACTCTGGTCTGTTCTCCCTCTAATCTTGGTTTTCCACTGATCCCTCTTCTATCCAAAACATTTTACTTGTTACTTTTTTCTATGAAACTCAGCTTCCAGGTTAATCATCTCCCTTGGATCCCTGGTCCTTTAATCCACTGCTTTCATTGCCTCTCATCTTTGGTACGTGATGCTTAACAAATGTTTGCTGAATAAAACAAAGAACCAAGACCTGACTATCCTGGAGGCCATTACTTCCCCCCTGTGGCTTCCCAAGAACTGCTTGTTCTCCTACATTCCATATGCACAAAGATCAGGAGGGGACTTCTCACTCCCCATTTTCCTTCCAGGCCATTCCATCTCTATTTCATCACTAATAAGTCCAAAATTTTAATATAGGAGTGTTGAGGGTAAAAATCGGGTTAGAAAGGAGGAGTGCTTCATGGGTTTGCCCCTAAGCTCCACTAGTATCACAGGGAGATTGTTGTTTAGTCACTAAGTTATGTCCAACTCTTTGCTACCCCATGGACTGCAGCACTCCAGGCTCCTCTGTCCTACACTATCTCCTGAAGTTTGCGCACATTCACTTCCACTGAGTCAGTGATGCTATCTAGCCATTGTTGTTACTGAAATGTTTATTCTTCCTAGTTTTAGGGGTAGAAGCCACATGGCCTCTATTGGTGGCCCTAAGCACACCTTTAGACAACCTCTGATACTACCATGGGCTTCTATGTGAGAAGCCCTGTTCCTTTATTGCTTAAACTGTTCTCTCTACATCTTGTCCTCCTCATCACTTTTGGAATCCTACCCATCTTTGACTCCATGGCCTGTCATATCAGCCACGTTTATCTAGTAGTCAAAATCGTCATATTTTCTATACCTGCACAGCTACGCCTTGTCCTTCATCTGATGGCTCTCACCTATCCCTTTGACTGGCATAATCATGGAACTTTAGCTCTTTTGCTGACTTAAAGGTACCCTGTGGCCTCAGGATAACATTTAACTTGTCCCTTCATACAAAGTCATCCCTTTGTATCTTTGGATGCAGACCCCACAGATATGGAGGGACGACTGTCATCCATTTCTAATCTGACTTCTGTCTTCCTCTTCAGACACATTTTTCATGATTTCCCTTCCTATTCTTTGTACTTCAACCATGGTGAATTCTTTGCAGTCCCAGCCTTTCACTTGTTTTAGCACATACTCACATCTAGAATGCCAGAAGCCCATAATTTATCAAGAGGGACTCTGGAGAAGTGTTACAGGACCAGTTCAGTTCAGTTCAGTTGCTCAGTCATGTCTGACTATTTGCAACCCCAAGGACTTCAGCTCACCAGGCTTCCCTGTCCATTAACAACTCCCAGACCTTGCTCAAACTCATGTCCATCGAGCCAGTGATGCCTTCCAACCATCTCATCCTCTGTCATCCCCTTCTCCTCCTGCCTTCAGTCTTTCCCAGCATCAGCATATTTTCCAATGAGTCAGTTCTTCGCATAAGGTGGCCAAAGTATTAAACTTCAGATTCAGCATCAGTCTTCCAATGAACATTCAGGACTGATTTCCTTTAGGATTGACTGGTTGGATCTCCTAGCTGTCCAAGGGACTCTCCAGAGTCTTCTCCAACACCACAGTTCGAAAGCATCAGTTCTTCAGTGCTCAGCTTTCTTTATAGTCCAACTCTCATATCCATACATGACTACTGGAAAAACCATAGCTTTGACTACACGGACCTTTACTGGCAAAGTAATGTCTCTGCTTTTTAATACGCTGTCTAGGTTGGTCATAGCTTTTCTTCCAAGGAGCAAGTGTCTTTTAATCTCATGGCTGTAGTAAATATCTGCAGTGATTTTGAAGCCCAAGAAAATTAAGTCTCTCACTGTTTCCATTGTTTCCCCATCTATTTGCTGCAAAGTGATGGGACCTGATGCCATCATCTTCAATTTTTGAATGTTGAGTTTTAAGCCAGCTTTTTCACTCTCCACTTTCACCTTCATCAAGAGACTCTTTAGTTCCTCTTCTCTTTCTGCCATAAGGGTAGTGTCATCTGCATATCTGAGGTTACTGATATTTCTCCCAGCAATCTTGATTCCAGCTTTGTGCTTCATCCAGTCCAGCATTTCTCATGGGGTACTCTGTATATAAGTTAAATAAGCAAGATGACAGTATACAGCCTTGATGTACTCCTTTCCCAATTTGGAACTAGTTCATCATTCTATGTCTGGTATTAACTGTTGCTTCTTGGCCTTCATACAGATTTCTCAGGAGGCAGGTTAGATTGTATTTCCATCTCTTGAAGAATTTTCCAATTTGTTGTGATCCACACAGTCAAAGGCTTTAGTGTAGTCAATGAAGCAGAAGTAGATGTTTTTCTGGAATTCTCTTGCTTTTTCTGTGATTCAACGGGTGTTGGCAATATGATCTCTGACTCCTCTGCCTTTTCTGAATCCAGCTTGAAAATCTGGAATTTCTCGGTTCACATACTGTTGAACCCTCACTTGGAGAATTTTGAGCATTACTTTACTAGCGTGTGAGATGAGTGCAATTGTGCAGTAGTTTGAACATTCTTTGGCATTTCCTTTCTTTGGGATTGGAATGAAAACTGACCTTTTTCAGTCCTGTGGCCACTGCTGAGTTTTCCAAATTTGCTGGTTTATTGAATGTAGCAAAGTGAACTTGAGTGTTACAGTACCTGCAATTGATTGTTACAGGTACTGACTTGGAATCAGACAGAAAAAGTTTTGAATCCCAGATTTGTGATTTACTAGCTTGAGTGCATAGGTAAGTAAGCTCCTTAACTTTTATGACCCTCCATGACCACATCTTCTAAGTGGAATAACAACTTAGTGTGGATGAAACCTGCCACATCAGTAAACAAGGATGTTCAGACACCAAGCCATCAAGCAGAACAGTCACCCCCAATTGTGCACCCTTAGGGATTCAGGATGGAAGAAAAAACAGGATACTGGCCCTAGATAGTTAAAGTGTATATCAAAGGAACTGTTTCAATAAGTCCAAACTCTTGTCTTTCTATACATAGAAAAATGCTAAATTCATTAACTTGAGAGGCCTGAGTTTTTTCTTCAATTAACGGTAATCTTTTTTTTTCTTTTTTTTTCCAATTATTTTTATTAGTTGGAGGCCAATTACTTTACAATATTGTAGTGGTTTTTGCCATACATTGACATGAATCTGCCATGGATTTACATGTAATCTTTTAATGTTCCCATTTCATGTTTTCCATTTAATGTTTGTGTGGGATTCATAACAGCCTGGATATAGGCAAACAGTATAAGCCAAAATATGGACAGCATCAGTGCCATATAATGTTTGCTCTTCCATAGAAAGTCCATAGCCTGACCTCCTTTCCTGACCACTGAGGCAGCCTCAGAGAGACACAAGGTAGAAACAAGGTTATATAACAAATTGCTAGCATGTTAGAATGCTTTGGAGCTCTTTGGAAAAGACCCTGATGCTGGAAAAGATTGAGGGCAGGAGGAGAAGGGGGCAACAGAGGATGAGAAGTTTGCATGGCATCATCTACTTGACAGACGTGAGTTTGAACAAACTCTAGGAGATACTGAAGGATAGCGAAGCCTGGTGTGCTACAGTCCAAGGGGTCACAAAGAGTAAGACACCACTTAGTGAATGAACAACAACAAGGAGACCTTGAATTATCAGTGGATGGTCATGGAAAAGGCACAGTTTGATATGGGCTTTGTAGGATTAATAGGATTTTAAGAGACATTCTTTGCAGGGAAATAGCAAATCATTTGGATACCATACAATTGAGGGAGTGCAGTGAGCCTGTGAAGTGGGTGAATGTTAAGACTTTATGGGAATTACGACTGGAACATTTTGTCTTTTCTCATGTATGCGTTTTAGTGTTGCTTATTGAAGGATGAACATGTTAACTTAGCAGAATTGCTTACACAGTGCATTTTAAAGCAGTATTTCCCAAAGTGCTTCTTTGTAAAATTAGTTTCATGGAATGCTCTGTAGAAAAATAATAAACAATAGTAGTAATTTAAAGAAATGTTGAATATTCTTTTTCTCTCCCTCGAATATTCACAGTGTGTGTTAACTTATTTTGAAAGGTTCAAAATAGTGTTATAATACCAAAGCCTGACTTCCCTGGGAAAGTAGGCCTTTCCTATTTATGTGACTATAACATCTCACTATTTCCCCTCAATGCACGTTTAGAGTCTGTAACTATATTATATATTTATTTAAAATATTTTGTTGACTGCTTCCCCACCAGGATATATGCTCCATGAGGACAAATATCTGTCCTATCTTGTTTACCGTTTTACACCAATAATCTAGCACAATGTCTGGGTGTTTAACGGGTGCTCAAAATAGGAATAAATGATGACTAAAACGTGCTTGCTTTTGACTTCAGATTGTCTACACAGTTGATAAAGGGTAGGGTTGGAATTTGAACCACATACTGCCAGATTCCAGTCTTTTTTACAATAATTAATTAATCATTTTTGGCTGTGCTGGGTTTTTGTTGCTGCACAGGTTTTTCTCTAGTCGTGGTGAGTGGGGGCTACTCCCTAGTTGCGGTGTGCAGCTTCTCATTGCTGTGGCTTCTCTTGTTGTGGCATACAGGTTCTAGACACGTGGACTTCAGTAGCTGTGGCTCCTGGGCTCTCGGGCACAGGGTCAGTAGTTGTGGTTCATGGGCTTAGCTGCTCCGTGGCACGCGGGATCTTCCTGGAACAGGAATTGAACCCATGTCTCCTGCATTGGCAGGTGAATTCTTTACCACTGAGCCACCAGGGAAGCCCCCAGATTCTTTTTGACCAGAGGTTGGTATACACTGTTATTCTTAGCCACCACCTAGGATTCTTGATGTTACAGTTTTACTCTTGGGCATTTATTCCCATTGATTGCAATTTGAAGCTTGAATGACTGTCTGATATGCCCAAATTTCTTTATATCTTTCAGGCAAAGACTGCCACCCAAGAATGTCTACTACTACCGCTGCCCAGACCATAGGAAGAATTATGTGATGTCTTTTGCATTTTGTTTTGACCGAGAAGAAGATACTTACCAATTTGCTTACTGCTACCCTTATACATACACTCGCTTTCAGCATTACCTTGACAGCCTGCAAAAGAGAAACATGGATTACTTCTTCCGCGAGCAGCTGGGTCAGAGCGTGGTAAGGCCCACTGGGGAACAGGCGGTTTGGGGGAGAGCTTAGCAGCAGTTTTTATAGAATGCAAATAATAGATATTGGTGCTTCGTAGACTATATGCTCTGGAACTTTTAAAAATCATAGTTTTTTGTGTGTAATATTTTGATAGTTTGACTACCAGTAAGTCATAGAATAGGATAAAGCAGATGCATGTCCTTCTGAATGAAGCTGATAAATCTTCTCTAACAAAATACAGACGTTCTGGAGAATCCCCAAAAAGTCCGAGGGAAAAAAGAAGGTTTCTACTAGGTATTGCAAAAGGAGTGAAAGCATTTATGAGTCTAAGCTTATGAGATGAAGAGTAAATTTGCTTTTTAGTGAATTTAGTTTGCCTGCAATACAGATTAGCAGGTGGTGTGCAGTATGGTTTTGCTGTCCATAGTGTGTTCATCTCTGTCACTCATTAGGTCCCCAGCCCTTCCCCCTTCCCAGGTTTAGTTCTCTAGGTCTGGAGATTTCAGTCTTACATTCTATATTAGTTTCCTATTGCTGACATAACAAATTGCATGGACTTGGTGGCTTAAAACAACATAAATATATTATCTTACAGTTCAGGAGAAGTCTGAAGTTGGCCTCTCCGGGCTAAAATCAAGGTATCAGCAAGATCTTTAAATCACAGCTGTAAAGCCCCTTTTGTCCTGTGAGGTAGCATGTTCACAGTTTCCAAGGATTAAAACTTGGGCATTTGGGCAAAGGGGGTGCATTGTTCTGCCTGCCACAGCTTCCTACTCTCTTTTCCTCTTCTTTTTCCTCTGCCCACCCTCAAAGTGTTCCAAAAAGATATAAAAGTACTCTTCATATCAGAGGCATAAGCTTTGTTTCCCATGGTCATCAGTACTTCCTTCAGTTGCTAATAAAGAATATCTTCCCTCTACTCTAACCCTCTTCCTAACAGTGCTTCTGATGGGTGCCATGTATATTTGGTGCCTATATCTTTTGAACTGAGAACTGGGACACATGGTGTATCAGTCAGCCTGCTAGCAGGAAACAGATGGCAGCTTCACATTAGGATAATTTGAGAAGAGCTTAATAAATGGGCTATTTACAAGGTGTGGGCACTGCCTACAGAAACCATGGGGTATAGTGCAGTTCCCTGGGGCTAGTAACAGCACAAAGGAACTGAAGGGGGGGAATGGTAACCAGAACCCAATAGTAGAGAGTTATGCAGTGGGCCACCTTGAGTGGAACAGTGACCTTCAGTTGAGGAACAAAGTTAGCCTGAGATGACCCCACAGGGAAGGAGCTGAGAAAAATAAATACAGAGAACTCATTTTTTTTACTTCCCTCTGATCTTCTGCCAGGGGTTCCTATTGACCAGCCCAATTGGAAATTAGAGGGCAAGAGACCACTGAAGTAATTCATATAGACAAAGTCTTCCTGAACAAAGAAAACGGAGAAGAAAGGCAGAGAGTGGTTATAGAGAGCCAAATAGAACATATTAGGTACATATGGTCTGATCAACAATGTATTACTGGAAATCGTGAGATTATTTGAGATGGGACTGTTGGAGAAATCCTGAGATGAATGTTTGGCACACATATAACTTATCATGTAAATTAAGAGCAAGAGAGTTTCATTCAATACTGTGACTTTTAAGGGCAGGATCTATTTGTTTCAGGCTCCCCTGGTGGCTCAGATGGTAAAGTATCTGCCTACAATGCAGGAGACCCAGGTTCAATCCCTAAGTTGGGAAGAGCCCCTGGAGAAGAGAATGGCTACCCACTCCAGTATTCTTGTCTGGAGAATCCCATGGACAGAGGAGCCTGGCAGGCTACAGTCCATGGGGTTGCAAAGAGTCAGATGCCACTGAGCGACTCACACTTCATTTGGTTCATTCCATTCCAATGTCCATTCCAGCACCCTCTTAGATTTATGCCAGGCAGAATCCAGGTGCACTATGACTATGTAGTAAATTACTGAATGAATGAGTGAAGATATGTCTAGAGACAATGTGAAGAGCCAAGAGCATCAGAAAGCTGATAGGAGGAATAATAGGATAAGTTAAGCTTTCAATAACAAATATAAAGAATGAGTATCTAAAACAACAGCACTTTAAACAAGGTAGAAGTTTATATCTCTTCCATATACAAGTCTAGATGCAGGAAATCCAGAGCTGATGGTGTGACTCTGCTCCTGAAAACTATTGGAGTCAAATTCTTTCAGCTTTCTGCTGCTCTCCCTAGAATGTGCCTCTCAATCTCATTGTCAAATGTGGAAATTCTACAAGCATTTCCATGTTCCAGGAGGCATGATGAAGAAAGTATGGGGAGAAGGGAGAAGATGCAGTTCTTGGCACTTTCATGTTTATCCCATTCAATAGAACTCATATCCACACTTAACTAAAGGATGGATGAGAAATCAAGTCTTCATCCTGGGTGACTGTGTTTCTAGCTGAAAATTAGTAGTCCTATAGATATGGAAGATAAGGATAGAGAGGAAGATTGGGACCAAGCTCTGGAAAACGTTGATTATCAAATTAAGGAATTATGGCTGTATCCTTTATTCAGATTCAACACACAGACACTGGGTCAGGCACTTTATGTACACTATCTTACTTGCTTTTTGCAACAGTTTTGTGGGGTAGGCAGGATTATATCAGTTTTGGAAAAATAGTCTAAGGCTAACTGGATAAGTTACTTGGCTAAAGCTAAATGACTACTTCGTGACTAGGCCAACATTAAACCCAAGGCTTCTAATGCCACACCCCGACACTTCGATGGACTCACTGCTGCTTTTCACATTGTACCTACTGAAACCCATAGCAGATTTTGAGAAGGTGATTGTAGTTTGTCCGAAGATACATCTTAAGAAAGTAAAGTTAGTGGAAGTGCAGGGTGTGCCACTGCTGGCTAAACTAGATTAGGGAAGCTCTGTGGCTTGGTTCAGTCCCACTGAATTGGGTCTCGAAGCAGATTCCAGACTTCAAGGCTTTCTGATGTAGTTTGTAGGCAGGACAATTCTTGGTTACTAGGGCGTTTGATACGGCTCGTGTCTGAAGGCACCACTATAATTAGTTAATCCTTATTCCAATTTGGAGGAAGGATAATTACAAGTAGAAAGCTAAATATGTCAACAGATAATTCTTAGAAAGCGCATGAAGGAAGCAAGATTTTGAATTTCTAGTGCTGAAACTATTAATCACCATGGGCATGGCTGCTATTGCTACTAATTGTATCATTCAGAGGGCTTCCTTGGTGGCTCAGTGGCAAAGAATCCATCCGCCAGTGCAGGTTGCATGGGTTCAATCCCTGAGTTAGAAAGATCCCCTGGAGAAGGAAATGGCAACCCTCTCCAGTATTCTTGCTTGGGAAATCTCATGGATGGAGGAGCCTAGCGGGCCACAGTCCATGGGGTCACAAAGAGTTGGACACAACTTAGTGACTAAAAAACAACAGATCATCCAAAATGGCATCTTATTTTGTTACTCACCAGTGGCCTTTTCTAACCACACCAAAAAAATTGCTTTGTGCATGCACCAAATCCACAATCTGACATTTAAGTTAAGCACATCATAGGAAAAATCTTTATTTTCTCATGTTTTAACACTTCTGTTGAGGTACAATTTACATACTATAACATTAACACACTGTAAGGGTACACTTCTATGATTTTTAGTGAATCTATAGAGTTTTACAGCTATCACTACAGTCTAATTTTAGAATGTTTCCATCAACCCCAAAGTTTCTTTTGTAAATCCTCACTTCTGCTCCCATCCACAGGAAACCATTTATCTGCTCTCTGACACTATGAATTTGCCATTTCTGAATATTTCCTGTAAATAGGATAATACATTATTTAGTTGTCCTTTGAATTCAGCTCCTTTTATGTAGCATTAGATTTTTGAAGTTTGGTTCATCCATGTTGTAGCATCTGTCAGTAGTTCATTTTTAGTGCTGAATAATATTCTATTGAAAAAGTATAACACAATTTGTCTATCTATTCTCTGGTTAATGGACATTTGGATTGTTTCCTTTGGGGCTAAAATGAATAATTTTATTGTGAACATTCATATGCATATCTTTGAATGGACATGTGATCACTTTTCTCTTGGGTAGATTTCTAGGAATTGAATCATTGGGTCATACAAGTCCACATGCAACTTAAAACAAAACAAAACCCCAAAACTGTCACAAGGTATTCCAAGTTAGTAGTGCCATTTTGCAGTCCTGATAATAATGTCAGAGAGATGGTTTAGTTTCTCCATGTGCTTGCTAACACTTGGAATTACCTATATTTTTCAGTGTAGCCATTTTAGTGGGAATGTAGTTGTGTCTCTTTGTGGTTTTAATTTGTGTTGCCCTGGTAACTACTTATGATGATTATCTTATGTGCTTGTTTGGCCTTTATATATCTTCTCTGATGGAATGTTATTTACATTTTTTATCCATTTTTAGAAAAATTGGTTTCTGTTCTTACAATGAGTTTTGAGAGTTCTTCATGTGTTGTGAATATAATACCTTTGTCAGATACATGCTTTATCAATATTCCCCTTAATCCATACCTTATCTTTTCACTCATTTTCTTAACCATGTCCTTTGAGGGATAGAAGTTGTTAACTTTTGAAGTCCAACTTATTTCTTCTCTTATGGATCATGCTTTGGGAGTCTTATCTAAAAGCTGCCTATCTGAAGGCCACAGAAATTTTCTCCTCTGTCTTCTTCTAAATTTTTCATAATTTTCACTTACATTTAAATCCATGATCCATTTTGAATTAATGTTTTATATATGGCATGAGGCAAGGGCTTTAAGTTCATTTTTCTTTTGGTATATGGATATTTAATTGTTGCAGCACCACTTGTTGAAAAGACTAGCATTTACCCAACTCACAGAGACTGAGCCAGAACTGTGTCTGAGTCTGAGTGTCTCCTGTGGAGGTACGGGTCAGCAGTAGCCTGCTGCAGGGGCCCTGGGTGCAACAGACCTGGGTATGGCATAAGCCCTCTTGGAGGAGGTCTCCAGTAACC